ACAATATGAGCTATAATAATCAAATTCTTCAAGTCCAATTAATCAAAATAACTTAATCCAAAATATAATGCTTAACAACCAAATTATATATAGAGCAATCCAATTAAATATAAAAAATTCAAACCCTAGTTTTAATTCCAACATTTAAAAATAACAAAGAAGGGATTGACTGCTTCTGAATTGTAATAACATAATCTTCAACCATATCTATAATTCACAAAAAGATGACTGCTACACACTGAAACCATCGATAAGTTCATTCCGCAAAATCAAACTCCTTTATACTCTCACCACCGTCTAATATCCGAAGAAATCAACACTCCAACTAATATTTCGAAGAGATCAAAAAATAAACTGTTTGAATCATCATTGTTCAATTCAAATATAGGTTCTATCATCCACTGTTAGATAAAAAATGAAATAGGTAAAAAAAACCAAATGGGTAGAAGCCCTTATCGCTATGCTAAAAAATACAAAAAATTTTTGAAATCAAAGAAATTGTGTATGAGTTATCTCTTGCACAATAGCTCTCATAGAATTTTCTAAGCTCTCAGCAATTTTTGCAATCGACTAGTTAAATAACGCTTGAATCGATAACAAAAAGGGGGGCGACTAATTTTCATCATGGTATGGTGCTTTGGTGCTACTGGGTTGCAGCAATGGAAACATGCACAACTCCATTGGGTGACAATCAAAGTCCCGCGCGCAGCGGATGAGATATGGTTTGTGGGGGACAGGTAAGAAGACCTTACTCTTGGTTTTTTTTGTATCTAGATGTACGTTGATTTCAAAATCCTTGGACTTAGATTGTGTGCAAAAAGTTCAGGCGTGATAATGCCTATCATTTTTTAGGTATAACTTTTTGCATCAGTTTGTGTTTGAGGTGTTCTCTTGAATGATATGCCATAATAATGACAATGTAGGACTTATCATCACTAAAAGTTAGCATTAGGGAGTACAAGGTGGTCCTAAAGGTGCTAATAACTCCAAAAAGCAGAAGAATAATAAGGAATTTGAATGAAATGTCACAAGCAATGATCGATTTAATTGACATATGGAAGTTGTAAATATGTTTTAGTGTCTTAATAAAATTCTCATTTTTTGTTGGTATACTCTCAGTATTGCATCTTTTCCCTCTTGGAATAACAGTTGATATATTTGAAATGTTTTTCCAGTTGTAAGTTGAATTACAGAGAGTACTGAGGGTGTTCAGACTCATCTGAGCGCCCGAGGAATCTGGCAGATTTGCTGATTCTGGTCAGAGAGCAGAGGCCCAAGCGAATCCCCTTTTTTTTTTTTGTATTTTGTTTTTTTTTCCCTGTTTGTCATGTATGAATTTTGTTATTTCTTCAAAATGTCATGTATTATCAGCACTTAACTAGACGTTTTAAACAGTTTTTTTGTTCAAGCCTAGTCCTTTTGCTGTCTTTGAAGTAGGCCGTGCATTACCAAGTCCATGGTTTGGTGTACTAAATCGGCAGCTGTAATAGCCTTGACCAATTTATCCAATATAGACTGTCATAGTCAGTTGTGTGATATTACTCTTACGAAAAAAGCAAAGATATGGGCCTCGAGGAGTTCATGATGAGCACCAAGAGGCCCCTTGGTGTTGGTGATGTGGCTAGGGGTGTCAACGGTGTTAGCCCTTGACATAAATCCAACATGAAGTCGGTATAACACAAACTTTAATAATAAGAATGTTAAACAAATAATAAATAGGTTGGGTAAGTGTTTGACATATAATAATTGGTTAAATAAGTATAATATGATAAAAATAATCATTTTTTTTTGTTCTTCCGCATTATATGAATTGGTTCAACAAATTATCAATACAAATACAACATGAACTAAAATGACATGATTCAAACATGACACGATTCAAAATAACACGATATAAAAATGACATAATAGGGCTCCATTGACTCTCCTATCAAATTGTTGAAGAAAAGACGTATGCAAATTATTGGCATAATTTCTGGCGGAACAAAAACATGGGTTGAACTTTAAGTTTCATAACTAATTATTTTTTAAAAAAAAATTATTAGACTACCATTGAGTGTATCACATAGTTTTTATTTTTTAGCGATCTTCTCTCTCTTCTCCCCCACTCTTTCTCTCTCTATTCTCCGCCACCCTCTCTCCCTTTTTCTCTCTTTTTATAGAAATTTTCATCCATTTTCTCTCTCTTTCTTCCATTTTTCTAGAAATATTCACTCTCTTCTCTTCCACTCTTTCCGTTTCCTCTTTTCTTGTTACATGCACACTTTGAGGAATTTGGAAAATAAATGAAAAATTAAATTGGGGGAGAAAACCCATTTCGAGAGGATAAAAACCTCCAATGATTCAATTTGGGAAAAATCAGATCTCCAAAACTTCACATAAAAGTTTATCACAATATTCAACCTACACATTTCATTAATAAGGATATCTTTAAATACTAATTGATGCACACGTGCGCTGCACATGAACCATTGTGAACTTTGATTTTGATTTTGAATCAGTGCATTCCCACAATTATAATTACACTGGTAAACATTTTATGATGCAACTATGCATTGAAATTTCTCATCAAGCCTTGCCACAACATACCCATCAAGTCTACAACAAGTTTGAAGTGTGAAAATTGTGCAATGAGTTATCAATTGGAGAATTTACACCTAAGTTTTATATATTTCTAGCTCCTGATCGACTACCTTACTTCAAATCACGCCATATATTAAAACACTAAATCATGCGCAGAGATAATAACAAACTACATAGCATTTTGTTGCAAATTAATATGCCACCCTATTTCCTCATTCTTACAATAGAAAAGCCAGATATCCTAAATTTCTTTAACCAATATGAGATATTGGACACAATAACACCTAACGGATATAAAACTCCACTCGAGTAATGAAGCTCGTTGATAACATTAGCACTTTCCCCTTCCAATTCTGCTTCTAAAAAACTCTAAAGCCAGATGTCCTAAAGGTGGAAGTTGTAAAAATGTCTTCCCCTTGAATTAAGTTGTCTGGCAAATTTTATATAAAAACTCGAACTTGCGGACCTTAAAGCAGTTCCTTTGTTTGTGTTTGAGTATCTTGAGCTCACTTCACATTCTTTGTCCTTTGTTTTTTGGGGGTGGATTTGGAATGACTCTATTTATTAGTCTAGAATTCCTTGCATTCCAGGTTTGGTGATTTTGTGCATAATAATAATGAAATTGATTAAATGGAAGTAAGCAAGATTATCAAACCATCTATTTGAACAACCGTCACTCACATGGTTACTTATTTTTTAATTTTGATGGGGTTAAATTCAATTGCATTACTACATGTGAGTTGACAGTTGTTGCCCGTGATGAAGCTGAGGAATTCATGATCGGGTTCTAACTGAAGAGGATTGCGAATGATGATCTAGAACAAGGGGAGATGATAGCAGCCACAGAAGCAGTAATATTCACTTTGCACCAGATTTAGAGTTATTTAGAAGCAGAATTGAAAGGGGAAGGTGCTAATGTTATCAATGAGCTTCATTACTCGAGTGGAGTTTTATATCCGTTACGTGTTATTGTGTCCAATATCTCATATTGGTTAAAGAGATTTAGGATATCTGGCTTTTCTATTGTAAGATTGAGGAAATAGGGTGGCGTATGAATTTGCAACAAAATGCTATGTAGTTTGTTATTATCTCTGCGCATGATTTAGTATTCTAATATATGGCGTGATTTGAAGTAAGATTGCCGATCAGGAGCTAGAAATATATATAACTTAAGCGTAAATTCTCCAATTGATAACTCATTGCACAATTTTCACCCTTCAGACTTGCTGTAGACTTGATGAGTCCGTTGTTGCAAGGCTTGATGAGAAATTTCAATGCATAGTTGCATCATAAAATGTTTACCAGTGTAACTATAATTGTGAGAACGCACTGATTCAAAATCAAAATCATAGTTCATAATGTTGCACGTGTGCATCAACTAGTATTTAAAAATATCCTTATTAAAGAAATGTGTATGTTGAATATTAAGATAAATTTCGTGTGAAGTTTTGGAGATCTGTTTTTTCTCAAATTGAATAATTTGAGGTTTTCACTCTCTTGAAATGGGTTTTCTCCCCCAATTTTATTTTTTATTTTTTTTTCAAATTCCTCAAAGTGTGCATGTAACAAGAAAAGAGGAGACAGAAAGAGTGGAGGAGAAGAGAGAGAATATTTCTAGAAAAATGGAAGCAAGAGTGAGAAAATGGATGAAAATGTCTATAAAAAGAGAGAAAAAGGGAGAGGGTGGAGGAGAATAGAGAGAGAAAGAGTGGGGGAGAAGAGAGAGAAGATTGCTAAAAAATAAAAACTATGTGATACACTCAATGGTAGTCTAATAATTTAAAAAAAAAAAATTAGTTATGAAACTTAAAGTACAACCCATGTTTTTGTTCCACTGGAAATTATGCCAATATTTTGCATACGTCTTTTCTTCAACAATTTGACAGGAGAGTCAATGGAGCCCTATTATGTCATTTTTATATCGTGTTATTCTGAATCGTGTCATACTTGAATCGTGTCATTTTAGTTCATGTCATATTTGTGTTGATAGTTTGTTGAACCAATTCATATAATGCGGAAGAACAAAAAAACAATGCTTATTTTTATCATATTATACTTATTTAATCAATTATTATATGTCTAACATTTCCCCAACCTATTTATTATTTGTCTAATATTCTTATTATTAAAGTTTGTGTTATGCCGACTTCATGTTGGATTTATGTCAAGGGCTAACCGTTGACACTCCTGGCCACAACACCCGCACCAAGGGGCCTCTTGGTGCTCATCATGAACTCCTCAGGGCCCATATCTTTGCTTTTCTCGTAAGAGTTATATCACGCAACTGACTATGACAGTCTATATTGGATAAATTGGTCAAGGCTATTACAGCTGCCGATTTAGTACACCAAACCATGGACTTGGTAATGCACGGCCTACTTCAAAGACAGCAAAAGGACTAGGCTTGAACAAAAAACTGTTTAAAACGTATAGTTAAGTGCTGATAATACATGACATTTTGAAGAAATAATAAAATTCATACATGACGATCAGGGAAAAAAAAAACAAAACACAAAAAAAAAAGGGGATTCGCTTGGGCCTCTGCTCTCTGACCAGAATCAGCAAATCTGCCAGATTCCTCGGGCGCTCAGGTGAGTCTGAACACCCTCAGTACTCTCTGTAATTCAACTTACAACTGGAAAAACATTTCAAATATATCAACTGTTATTCCAAGAGGGAAAAGAAGCAAGACTGAGAGTATACCAACAAAAAATGAGAATTTTATTAAGACACTAAAACATTTTTACAACTTCCATAAGTCAATTCAATCGACCACTGCTTGTGACATTTCATTCAAATTCCAGGGCTCTACGATCTCATCATACAGAATGCCTAGTACTTGAGACTTGCAAGTTCCCAAACTCACCCATCAGTCTGTTAGATAGAATTCAAAAGTTTTACTAGCCACTTGGATCCGAGGAATTCCATTCTCAGGTTTCGGTATCCTGATGCACTATAAGCTATAATTTCTAATCTAATAAATTAACCTAATAAGTTGTCATGGTGGTTCCAAGACTTCACATTCCTACACAACCTCGTCCAAAAGCCCACGACCTCTGCTGGTGGTTCAACGGGTTCCTTAAAATTTGCTTTCTCACTTAGTTCTTCAAAAGAATCAACAACATTTTGCAGCCTTGCAACAAACTCAACCAAAAGTGATGTGAAGGTTGCCAGAGACAATGCACTAGCACTTTCATAGGTTTTCGATTCTTCTTCTGCATCTTCTTCTTCAGGTACTGTATCAGCTTTAGGCGGACGTGTGGGCCATGATATCTGTTTCTCTAACATATTCTCTGACCGAACACCTGCAGGTCCGATGTTCTTGAAACCCATATTAGAATTCCTATCATCCCAACTCTTTGATATAGGAATCAAGTTGATGTCAATTGCAACTTGACTGAGGGACATATTTTCCTGAAATTTACTTTTATCATCAATTTTAAGAAAGACGTGGGGTTCTTTCATCTGCTTGGGCCCATTTCCAATTTCCCAGCTCTCAGAATTAACAAACAGGTATGACTTTCGATCCACCTTCTTCTGCAATGCTTCTGCTGCCTCATGCACTTCATACAGTATGTCTACTGAGCCTAATTTCTCCATCCTTTTTATTTTGTTCCCAAGCTCTCGTAAAACTTTAGCACCAGCAGTTCCTACCCTCTGAAGTTCACTTTGAAAGACCCGTCTTTTTTCAGCAGGAGCCTAAGTGCAAAAGTGTTGAAAACATCATTCATCTTATGCATGGTTCGAGTTAAAAGAGATTATGAACCTAGACGCTATTACATAGCAAAAAGGAAAGGAACTTCGTGTAACTGTAAAAATGCACAAAAATCCAACAGACAGACCATCGGCCAATATTGCCTTAATTAAATATTTACAGAATATGATAAGCAATTAATTCTGGAACTTTTCTATACAATCTTGTATTTGTTGCCTGTATCTGCAAGAGAATCCTGGAGTCAACAGGACGAAATGTGACTTCTTCAATGAAACAGTCATAAGCATTTGCCATGGGACTTCTGTCTACCCTGGGTTTACTTCCCCAAAAAGTTGTACTCAAGACTCAGGCTAAACTTATATAATGTGAACGATGCATTAAATTTGGTTCATAAAGTGAAAAGAACAGGAAACAATAAAACTAACCACCACAAACATAACTAGGGGCAGGAAATCAACAAGAACAAATAAAATAGTTGATATAGGAGGAAATTTCATGAGAAGTTGGCTATTGATAAACATATTTTACAACAATTAGTTATAATTTTTAGTTTTGAAAGGGAACACAGAATTACAATTGCATGAAGTTATATTATGGTGTTAACTAGGTTCTGAGACAGGATCTGTTCGAGTTACTATGATCAAGACAAATTATAAGCAAACCTCCTATGACAAACTACCTTTTACACACCGTTGGTTAAGTCCTGGACACAGCATCTCCTAAATGCCCAAAAATAGGCACATAAAACCCCTTACGTTCTAGGCAAAATTGAAAATTCTACCCCTGCTTCCTCCTCGCACTAAGCCACAAGAGCTCTGTAGAGGGAAATGTGCATCAGTTGGAGACCCTTTGGCTTAAGGTTTTGACTTGACAGGACTTGCTAAGAATATATGGTAATTTGCTTTAGAATTTTCAAAGGTCAACAAATATGTGGTGGTCTGATAAAAAAAAAAAAAAACAAATATGCGGTGGTCATGTACAGGAACCTGCACAGGTCTCCTCTCTCTCTCTCTCTCTCTCTGTTAAGACATTTTCTTCTATCCTTATCTGTGAAGCCACCTTATATTCTTTTTTATTTTTTTTATAGAAAACACAATTTTATAAAAAATAAAAAGGAAACTCATGAATGGATTAGTCATCCATCAAAGATACACTCCATAAAAAAGAAGAACATAAGAAAGGAAAAAAACTTAAGATAGCGAGCTAATCAATCACAAGTCGCCTTCTAATTCACCAAAATACCAAAGAGAGGGATATTTGCAACCTCCTTTGAAACTGACACCAAAAGTTGCTAAAAAGTGAATTCAGTTCCAAAGTCCATCAAATACTTCATACTTATTCTCAAATATTCTTGAATTTCTCCCCAATCAAATCACCCAAATAATTGCAACTTGGAAAAGTCATCCACCCAAGATACAATCCATCAAAAATCAGTACATAATAAAGGGAGAAAACATAAGATAACAATCTAATCAATCACAAACCAGCTTATATTCTTTTACCCAATCCAATTGACAAATGCTAAATCATTTTTCTTTGGTAGTTAACGAGTTATCGTTCCAACTAGGTTACCACAGGTCCATTTATGGAGCTTTTGTGGATGTGGACCCCGTTCACGAGAAGCTGTCACCAACGAGTTTGGTACGTCCATATACGGTCAAACTAGCAATCAATTGTACATATGAACAAAACGAAATTCTTACATCATTTTGGCCACCATGAAGTTTTGACTTTTACAACAGCCTTGAACCTTATGAAGTCATTATACCCTCGTAACTTATTGACTTGTGTTTTAACGCATTTAAGATTTATGCTATTTCCTGATTGATCGCTAAGTGCATATTGTTAAACAACTATCTAGTCCAAAAGCTTAAGATGTTGGAGAGGATGTCTCATGGAGGCTAGATTTTGGGACTAGCTAATGAAAATCTTTTTAATAATTAGGGTGGCAATGAAATTTGAAAACAAAACCTTCTGCTTTGATTCCATGTTAAACAATCATCTACTCCAAAAGTTTAAATTGTTGAATAGGGTGTAACTCAAATATTTATACTTCAACATGTATAAATCAAAATTTAGCAACAGAAATTCGTAAATATACAGAGAGTAAAATGGCGAAAAGGTAAGTAAGAAGTGATACAATAATTGATGTATAAGTAGAGATAGAAAAATCCCTCAACAGAGAGAAAGTGATTGGATGTATTTTGTTATTTTGGTCATTTGGAATTTAAAAATTTCAAGAGAGACAATTCAATCGCAGTCTTCATCACGTTTGTGGCGCTTGCACTACACCTTCCATTAGTTTGGATAGCATTTTACTTTAGTCTAGAAAGACATTAAGCTAGGAAAATGCAAAAAGAAATTTTAGAAGATTATCATTGCAGTATGATACTCCATGTCAAGGCACAATACCATGAAAAACTACCTCCCAGATTAACTAGTAAACAAAATTTTCTAAAGACACCTATAGAGCATGTCTGACAATAGAAAGAAGCATCTTTAAGGAATATGGACGACAAAAGAATAGCTACCTGTATCTCTGAGAGCATACATCCATGCAATGCCATAACCATGAACGCACAATGCCTTAGAGCACCACTTACTTTGACATAGTTTCTCCACGGATATTTACACATTTTGTACGGACCATGCGGCGGCTCCCAGATAGCAAAGCCTACCTGCAGACATGAAAACGAGTTAAGTCAAGACGTCAATATATTTATGCAATAATGAGTTGATGCAGCACAATCGATATGAAAAAGTACCAGAGCATCCTCTTGGCTTGTTGATTCCAGTACAGATCTGTAGCCACTATACACTGGATCATCAGAAGCTTGGTAAGTAAGAATTTTTGAAGGGACCCTCTTGTATTCAACACAATTCACGTAACCACTAACACAACCTGGAGAAGTTTCAAAAGATTAGCCAACATGGAAATGAGACTGAATAAGTAGCCTTTACTGCATTTTACTGACCCAAGTATTTCAATATAAAGAAATTGATAATGGTGAAATGCCAACCTTCCAAGGAAGTAGCAATGCCCATGAAATTTTTCACCACCAAAATGTGCAGATCCTCACCAGCCCAGATCGGATAGATGCATATATTCACTGCCAGAGAAACACTAGCGCCCAGTGCAATAAGCAAGAACCTAGTCACAGCTGTATTCACGAATTCTCTTGTCTGATATCCAGATACCATTATGAAACAATATGTTATCAAGAAAACTCGGAAACCGTATTCATATGGCTTCATTGTTGGGTACAGTTTTGCATACGTCATACAAGACCCTGGAAACAAATTCACGTTCAGCAAATGATATTACTTACATATCACGACATGAGATCATGCTAATAGATTCTAGAAAAAAACACTGACTACAAAGTCAGACCTGTGATAAATATGCTGATGATTATAACAACTTCCTCCCATTCCCCGGCCAATACAGACAACTCGGCTATGCCAAGAGCAAGCCCTCCAGCTGACAATGTTCCCAACCCACGGTTGAAACCTTTGCTAAGAGTGGCTCCTGCAGCAGAATGAAGATCATCAACATTGAAAACAAAATATGGGCATGCATGCATACCTTGAAATGCATCCTTCCAGCTAGTATAAGCATGGCCACAGAATGAACATTCATGAAATTTGGAGGTTTCAATCAATAAAAATACTACCGATGATAGGTAAAGACTCGTGATAAGCAAAAACTCTTACTGGATATGATACTAATAGTTAGCTAAGATGGTTTAGCCATGTGCAATGAAGCACCTCATGCCCGCCCTCCCCCTCTCCAGAGGCTTAGCCCAAAGCCAATATCACCTGGTGAGAGAGTATCCAGGTTAGAACCTTCACTTTTTGGATGGGGGGACTGAAGCCCCTCCTTGAAAAATCACCTACCTGAACATCCTTGTTCACAGGACTCCTGTAGATATTGTAAAGGATAGCTTGAAGGGCGCACACCAGAGAAGATGCCAAAATCCCACCCTTTGATCATCCCTCTTCTTAATACAAACTTGCCTATAAAATTCGTCCAGCTATTTCCTATACCATGTCATAAACCGACTCCTTACCAAATACCCACCTCCACTGTCATTCAACTAGCTCTATATTCAACGTAGTTGATCAGGACTTTACACAACTTGGTCCCACTGAAGCAAACAAATATAATATCAAAAGGATCACTTGGTTGAATTTCCTCATCCTCCTGATGTGCTAGAGGAGGGTGCACCTCCTTTCACTCAAACAAATGTAAAGTGAACTCACCACCGTTCCTTTTCAGGAAGTAACAGTTTCCAATTTTTCCACTCTTTTCGCACAAACACCAAAAGAGTAAAGGTAACTACTATAGGTCATCAGAAGGCTCAATTATGTGCTCTACTAACAGCCTTAAATATGCTGTTGGTTTATGAATAATAAATCATGTCAAACCCATCATATCCCAATATCCGAATCAAACCGTTTTGCAATGAAATTGTCATCTAACAAGATCACAACAACAGATGTACAATTGTAAGAGGGTAACTTCTACATAAGATTGATGATATACCATTCAACTAATTTTTGTTTGGTCTTTCTTTTGATTTTTGCTTTGATTGGGGAGGATGGTTTACTGAACGATAACGATAGATTTATATTCACTTATTCCTATATATGCCACTCAAAACACCTATTCTTTGCATGGTGTTCACTGCGCTCTTGATCATAGGTTTTTTTTTTTTTTAATTTATTATTTTCACTGACCATAAATTATTTTTTCTCCATAGCTATTGTAATGTCTTCCCAATTTTCAATTTAATAATTGGCTATAAAGTTGTCAACAATTCAAAGAATATTATATAGGTATAGCGCTTCTTAACTTTGACTCTCGAATGCTATAGGAACTTTATTTGAAGACTTAATTTGGGAACCTAATGATGTGATTTCAATACAACCATTAGATTAGTTGTGACTTTAGATGTTAAATGGAGCCCCCAATCAATTCGATGGTTGTATTGAATTAGGTTCCTAGATTACCTCCCCAATTAGGTCCAAATAGCATTTTCCTTTTTTTCAAACATTGCCATATGCCTATAACAATTATTCCAAAAAAAAAAAAAAACCATAGCAATAATTTAAAAAACAAGAAACAAAAACAAATCAAGCTAGAGAGAAAAATGCAAACCTATGCTGAATTCAAACACGACCACAACAGTAAGTATAGCCCAAACAGAGTATTTACTGAGCTCTTCTACTGGCTTCTTGAAGAAAATCAACAAAGATATCAGCATCAAAGCCAAACCCATCTTCGCTGAAAACACAATCTTTCTTGGGTCTGACCGACCCAACTCCCAAGCCTTGAAAGCAACACTTCGAAAGTTCTTCCATGAATCTGCAAATTTCTCACGAATTGAACGAAAAGAACAATACCCAGAAGTCTCATCTTCAATATCTATTGTATGTGTAAATCCAGGTAATTCTGAATACCCTCCTCCGCATGAGGACAATAGTCTCTCTCTTTCTCTCTTCTCCGCAAAACTTCGCCTGAATGACCCCAATTTGGCTGCCATTTTTTCTCTCTCTACCCAACAAGTTTTACATAGAGAGATTGTACCTAAACAAAACCATTTTGGCTGTCATGTTGCTCAACGGATTGGTGAGAGTTTTCTAGAGAGAGACGGAGAACAAGAGAAAGAACTTTTTTTGATCGCTAACTCTCTCTGAGAGAGAGAGAGAGAGAGAGAGAGAAACCATACAAATCTGGAGATCGATGTAAAGTTGGAATAGAGAACAAGGATATTATGTGTAATTGGGAAGTACAGGTTTCTGTTCTATTGTGAAAAGGAGAAGTAGGCTTATTAGGAATTGAACGGTTGAGTCACGGCTTCTTAAACACGGCGTCGTTTTAAGAAGCTGTTCTGTGATTGGATATAAAATCAGATGTGTGGCAAAAGATCTTCGGAAGTTCGGATGACAAATAGCTGATTGAGCAGTTGACACGTGGCATTAAGTAGGACCAACTTAAATCAGCCGGGGGTAGTAATTTACTTATTGCTTTACAATAACAATAATACAGATTGAATCTAATTTAAAAGCATTAATATATGAATTAAGTTTTTAAATTAAATCTTTATACTAACAACGAGGAAGGAAAGTAGTTGTATAATCACGGTTTAGGATGGTGTAGTTGGGCGTACATAGATTTTGTTTGGATGATAAATCACTTTTTATGATGACCAATGTTTTCTCTAATATTGTACACAAAAAAATGGTATTGTGAGGATCTAAGTTCTCCAAATTTATTAATCCATAGTAAAATTAATGGCTCAATGTTGACTTGTAAAAGGTAGGAAGAGGGAAAGAAGAAGGTAAGGACTTGATTGATGCTTGGAAAAACTTATGATATAATAATCACCAAGTTCCACTTAGATGACGATAATTTTGATTGGGATGAGATTATTATTTTTAAATTCTAAATTATCATGTTTAAATACTCAATTATTCAGTAATCTAACTTAAAAATAAAACTACTATCATAATCCAATTCTCAATAAGGGTGTGTATCCTAAACCCATGATCAATGGTGATAATTTCATACTTATATTGATTGTGTATTCTATAAAAAAAATACAAATCCCAAAATGAAATTCTTTCATAAAATTAATTTCATTTCAAAATATAAGTTCTCCTCTTATAATCAATCTAATTTTTAAAATTAAATTATTTCTTAAGACAATATGACAATAACATTAATTTCTATACAAGATTTCTGACAATAACCAATCATTAAATATAAGATTATTATAGTAATTGATATCTGGGTATCTCATCATTAAGAATTAGATACTTATTCTCATTTAAGATTACTCTCATCTAAACGTGTCTTTTAAGGGTTTTGAAGAAAAGATATCCAAGTAAAGAATGTGAAGCTAATGAAAGTGTACCATTTATGTGTGTGATGCATGCCTTTATATGGCATGAGTTTGCATGACCCTAACCAGATCTATATAAGCACTAAATTTAGAGGCTTGAGCAGAGATCGGAGAAACAAATGTTGATTTCCTTATTTGTTGCGGTACATAAACTATAATTGTAACCTTGCTTGATCCTTATCTGTAACGACATGCGAGGTACTCACGAATATTTTTTAGTTAGATCCTCTGTAAGTAGTTGTTCCTCTAATATACGCGAAGCATGAAATATGATATTGCTTGGGCATGCGATTATAATGTTTTTCTACATTTTTTTTCTGAAAAGAATGACATTTTATTTGTAAATATTCCTCGCGGGCTTGGATGGCATAGTGGTCTGAAGTATCGAGAAATTCTCGATATAAAAAGTTCTTGAATTCTTCAACTATGGATACTTGGTGAAATTTCAATTGGCAATATTCTCCTACAAAAATCCACCAATCTCGAAGATGCCCTTGAAGTCGAGCCATGAAGCATTCACTAACCAAAATGTGATGTCATGGTTGGACGTTGGAGTTCAACTGTCCACCAAGAAAACATTTCCAAGAACCTTTCTCATCATTTAGAACGAGGAACATAATCAATGGTCAAATGTTTCTTGATATCAGATGAAATAGAAAGATATGCGAGATCAACCAATGGGTGAATTTAGGGGTCACCAACCAAGGGTTCACCACAGGTAATCATGAAGAGAGACATGCAAGTAGTCTATGTTCTAGAGATACACAAAGTTCTAAGTTGAACTCAAATTGAATTGTCGATGAACTTAGTAATCAAGAATAATAGTAGAAATGAAGTTTGAGCTGAACTGAACTTAGATAATACAATTGATGAGCTTGTTAGAGATGACAATAATAGAGGAAACACTGAGTTGTGGTATAAGTGAGTGTTATGCTCAAGCAAATTTGTCAATGATCATAGAGATAAAAAATAATAATTAAAGCCAAAATTGACCTTAGGCAATGATATGGATGAGCTTAGCTCAGCGAAAATAAATTGAACAAGAGTTGGTTTGTTGATGTGAGCATAAAGCTTTGAAAGGCATGTCAATGAGTTTGGAGCTCGGACTTGCTAATAGAAGAAGAGTTGAGCTATAAGTTACATGAGCACTAAGCTCATGCAGTACAATTGATGTGACATGGCCACAAGACCTTTTTATGCATGGATTCATGGTTCCGTAACTATGAGTGTGGAGCTTGGGAAACAAAAAACTATGCCACTCAATGACTACATATGAAATGATTTTTTTGCTTGGATTCGTTGTCTTTGGGTTATGACACTGAGGCCTTGGCGTGCAAGGATTTTTTTTTTCAATAATTGTGCATGCAAAGTAACGATTTATAACTTTAAGATCCTTAAGAACGCTGTTTTTTGGCTTAACCTTTTTTCAAGATAACTCTCCTAAGGCCCTGAGATATGATGGTTTTCTCTGTTGCATAGATCTTAGGAGAGTTATATGCTCTATGTGACATTGGTTCGTGATGTAAAAATGCAAGTTTTGGGCATTCACAAACACGAAGAATTTTATTAGATTTTCTACAAAATTGTGACCAAACAAATCAAAGCCAACAAATATAATTGAGTCTTGGGAGGTCAAGTGTCATCTTTTTTCACAAATAACTTTTGTGATTCTACGCGTGCTTACTACTCAGTACATGTTCCGTTGTTGGGTTTGTTTTAAGATGAGTCTTGTAGTCTCATCTTCTCTTGCTAATTCTTGCGATCTCTTTCTGAGTTTTTCCTAGAATCGTCCATAACCCCGAAGAAAGGTGCAATACTTGCCTTGATACCATTTTCTCGAGTTTCCCTGGGGTATCTCAAGCCAGTAAATTGCTCAATGCCCTGAATATCACATACCGGAGAGCTTGTTGTCACACACATTTATGTGTGCTAGCTCACTATTAAAGAGTGAGATAAAGCCATTTAGCGGGTCTCATTTCCTCTCTTCTAAGGTTAGAAGGTAAGCTGATCATCATTTGATATTTTAGTTACTAATGAACCTATAAGAAATCTTTTGTGGAGATATGAGAATTAGTAGCTCTCGTCTTTGCTTGGAGGATCAGAATTCAAGAGCTAGTGTTCGTGCACCCTTTAGGTTCGACAGTCACTCAACATGTGTCAATAGAGCTTGTAGTTGAAGAAGGATAGCGGATGCTACTGAATCCTCAAGTGAAGGATTTTTCCTCTATTGATTTTTTAATAGTTTTATAAGGATATTGGGGGCACCAGACAAGTCTTGTTGTGAGGGTTGGTAAACTAAACGAATAGCTTGAGCTTGGCTCATTCAAACTCATTAAAATTTGAATATGAGCTAATTATGAATATGAATCTAGGCCCATTTTTTAAATGAGCACAGCTCGACCTACTTGGGTGGCTTGATTTAAGCTCGATATTTTTATTACCTACTTTCCACTCTTATTTTTAGTGGTCTAATTTTAGTTGTCCATCCAAAACCCTATACCTAGATCAATGGTTAGGATGAATTCTACTTAACAAACCCAAACCTAATACACCTAAAGCCAAGGGACATCAGGATTTAGGATGCACCAACAGAGAGAAGATGAAACTCTCTTTTCGGCATTTTCTTCTCTAACACTGTCGTCTCTCCTAAAGAAAAAAACCCAGCGTCTCTCCACTTGTTATTGGTCTCTCTCATCACTTTTGGTTTCTCTCTATGACTTCTATAACTTTTGAACAAGAAAATGCCCTAAATCATTCTTGGCTCTCTCAATATTCTTCGTATGTAATTACATATCTTACTCTCATAACTAATGAACCTTGTGAATATAGCAAAGCGAGTCAATGAAGAATGGTGCACAACTGTCCAGTTGTATCAGATCTTCAATTACGCTATTGTATTAAATTAAGATCAATTCTATGTAATCCAAATCTATAACTCAAATTTGTATTCTAAATGAATGAGAACTATTGAATCAATGGATTTTATTTTAAAAAGTTGATAGGACTCACTCATTCAACAGTCTCCTTCATTTAAAATAAAAATTTGAATTATAAATTTAGAATACATAATATTTCTCTTAAATTAATTTTAATTGTAGCACATGAGCTAACTGAGTTTGTTAAGCAAGTGGTGGTTTGTTAACAGATGTAAAGTCGGTGCTTTTTAGTCGGTTTGAGCATCTCCAATAATGCTATCTAAAATAACTACTCAAAATATATTTAAATATTATATTATCTACTTTAACTAACAACTTTTTCAAATTCACTCCAACAACGCTATCTATTTTAGCTAACCATTTCAATTAACTTTAACTAACTATTAATTATTAAAATCTAAAATACTATGTTGTATACCATGTCATCACCATATTGATGACATCATATGCTCACATGTTACGCCACGTCATCAAAAATTTTAAAATTTTAATTTTTATTAATAACGGTCAAATTTATAATGGTCACGAAATTCAAAATTTTAAAATTTTAATTTTTCAACGATTATATTAATAACGATCATATTTGTAATGGTTATATTTGCAACCTCTAATGTAAAATTATCACCTCGTTGTTTTTTGTTAGTGGATTTTACTTGAGGAGATATTGGTGAAAATTGACCTATAACCTCATTATCTAAATTTGTTTCATGATGCATGAGATTGGTGAAGTACGCACCATATTAGAATGAATCCATGTGTTAATGCCTATAAGATGAGACAAGTACAGGATGTTTCATTCAAATTGGAAATATAAACTTTGGCTTCAAGTGCCAATCAAGTAGCAGGGTTCCTGATTAATCATCAAAATTACTATATTTAATGATTTGTTAATTGCATGTTATTTGTAATTAAATGTGTTAAATTTCTTAATTTTTTAGTTTGATATTTTTTCTAGTTGT